GTTAGGACAGGACACAGGAATAAAGATGCATTCCTCGAAATTCCAGGATGGGTTAATATGCCCGTGTCCTAACCCTAATAGTAACTTTGGCGAAGACTCTAATCCCAACCTGAACTGTAACCCTAATTCCCCAGGAATTTAATGCTTGATCGGCTGGCCTGCCGAGGGGAGGGGTGGGGGGCATATAAGCGATTCTTACAGTTTCTTGACCTAAATTTTCGGATTCTCACGAGAGCCCATCTTCAGAGTCAGTCGCAGAAAACGGTGATGGCGGTCACGGGGTGCAGTATTCATAGGACTCATTGTATGCGCAGTATATTTAGCAGCAATTACATTAATCGCTGGAAGTCGTATTTGATGTGCTGATTGCTCGTGCGTACACACCCTGGTACCTTGATATCCCCTGATTTCATCACCATGGTTGATTCTTGAGCTTATAATTGTTTGGTCATTTGTCGTGTTGTCACCACAAGTGTTGCTGGCCCATGCCTTCGCCGCGTACCTAGTTTCTCTACCCAGATAGTGTTAAAACAGGATAGGGAAGCGATGAGTCATTGCGGTTGTTCATTCACTGCGGGCCGGAGAACGATGCTTCAAGTAGCTCGTGGCTCACGCGGTTGTCATCTGCTCTGAATGTGAGTGGGCTTTTTAGATTGAGTCGCTATTTTTCCCCCCTCCATTCGCGTGTAAATTTCCTTATGTATACGTCGGTTGGCCTACTTCGTCCATTATAAAACAATTTTCATCACTCTTTTTTATTTTAACTACAATGAAATCATCAGTGCACGACGCCCGCGCCGCTCTGTAAACAGTCCAGTTTGGCCTATATTTGACTAATTTTTCCACGATGTCCACAACTACAGATTTTCCGGTGTTGTGACTTTCTGCGCCCAAATTTATTCCTTGTGAATGGAGGAAGTTATTGCTGAAAATTGTGGGATTATACTTTCAAAATAAAGCCTATCTCTCTCTCTCTCGTTTTCTCCGTAAGAATAGTTTATATGGCTGCCTAAACAGGACACGGGAATAGGAACCGCTCACAATCCGTGCGGCTTTGTGCAACCTTTCGAGAAAAGTATGTTTGGGGCGGAGTTGAGGGTTAGGTTCAAGGCTGGGGTTAGGGGGGGGCAGGATTATATTTGGAGTTCTAGTTTGCAGGCAAAAAGAGAATATTGGTCTGCTAGTGGGCCTCGGGAATGGGTTCCGATGCACCACGGGACGAGTAACCTTGTTAACGGATCGGTGAGTGCCTGTCTACAAGAGTTAAAGTTTGCGTTGTTATTAACAGTAAGGTTCTGGGTTTGAGGTGGAGTTAGGGTTAAGATGGAGGTTACAATTTAGTGTTATGTTAGGTTTAGTTTTCCGGTCAAGGTTAAGGCTCCGTCCCCCAAACGGGCCGCATGACAGATGCGCTGGAACAACTCGAGGGTCAAATCAGGGTATGATAGGCATTATTTGGGTTGCACGCCGATGACCGATATCGAACACGGGGGAGTTAGCGTGGTAATCCGTATAGGGGGCGGCTTCGGCCGCGCCAGCCCCCTGCGTCCGATCCCACCTCAAGTCTTCTTGACTCTACCTTGACACCGGGTGCGGGTGGGTGAGGGAAGGGTGTGAGTGCGGTAGATGCTACACAAATCTTCTATCACTCAAAACTAGCTCACTCGGAACTCACTGTCCCTGCACCAG